GGCATCTACCTGGGAGTCCGAGTCGGACATGTGGAGTAAATATCCACACTTATTCACCAGCTCGGGTACTTTTTTCTAACTCTGTTCGAGAACGAACATTTATTTTAGAGGTGGAGAATGTGATGACCCAAAATGTCATCTTTAAAATTAATAAGTAATTATGTGTTCTAAGACCACAAAAATCACCATTTATCATTCCTCGACTTGCGTGCGCAGTCCGTACAATTATTCGAAAATTATTTATGTGAAAAATGGATTAAAATGTGAAATAGAGCTTTAAAAACTCAACTGAGTTGACTTTAGTCAACATTTTGAGCAAACAGACCCGGATCAGTGTTTTGACAATTCTGGTAGGCCCGTATCGTGATTTGGGACTTGGGCGTATGCCAGGAATCGAATTCTGAGGTCCCTAGCTCGAGATATGGAATTTTGGTAAAAAATTAAAAGCTTGAAAGCTTAATGATTTTTAAGAAATTATTGATGTTGGATTTATTGACCTCGGGTCCGTATTTTGGTTTCGGAGCCTGATGTAGGTCCACTATAATATTTATGACTTGTCTGCCGAATTTGGTGAGAATCGGAGTTGATTTGACGTGAGTCGGACGTCTGGTTGTAAAAATATAAGTATTAGAGTTTTCTTGGAAATTCCTTTGATTTGGTGTCCGATTCGTAGTTCTTGGTGTTATTTTAGCGATTTGATCACTCGAGCAAGTTCGTATGATATTTTAAGACTTGGGTGCATGTTTGGTTTGGAGCCCGAGGGCTCGGGTTGGTTTTGGGTTGTTAACGGATCATTTTTGGACTTGGAAAAAACTGCAGAAATCTGCTTCTGGCATCCTTCTTCGCGTTCGCGAAGAAGAAACTAGAGGCAGATGAAAATTACTCTTCGCGTTCGCGAAGAGGGGGCCGCGTTTGCGAAGCTTCGCGTTTGCGATCGAAGCCTCGCGTTCGCGAAGGCCAAGCGAGGCAAGTATCGCGTTCGCGAAGAGTAAAATTGGACAACACAAATTTGTGCTTCGCGAACGCGAGGCACTGACTGCGTTCGCAACGGGTAAAAATCCCAGAAACAGAACTTAAGTTCTGGAAATGGGGTTTCGACCCATTTTCAACTCTTTTCTATTTTTGAGCTCGGGTAAGGCGATTTTTGAGCGATTTTCACGGAAAAACATTGGGATAAATGTTCCTTATCCTATATTGATTATATTTCATGATTTCATACTCATTTATATCATGAATCGGTGAATTTATGGAAGAAAAATCAGATTTTTATAAAATCTTCCAAAAATAAAATTTAAGATTTGAAGGTCCATTTGACATCGGAATTGGATAATTTTTATATGGTTGGACTCGTCTCAGAATAGGTGTTCGGATTTCGTAAGTTTTTTCGGGATTTAAGACGTGGGTCCCATAGCCAAATATTTTAATGAATTTCGGATTTTTATCCGAAAAATTTATAAATTCATATAGAATTAATTCCTATGATTCGTATTGAGTATATCGAATTGTGTGTGAATAGATTTGAAGCTTTTGGAGATAAATTTAAAAGGAAAAGCTTTGGTCAAGTAATTGATTGGAATTTGCAAAGCGAGGTAAGTGTCGTGGTTAACCTTGACTTGAGGGAATAGAACCCTTAAATTATTTGTTATGTGAATTGCATTTGAACGACGTATAGGCGAGGTGGCGAGTGTCTATACATCGTCAAATTAATTGTTTGTCTGCTTACTTGAAAGATCATAAATTATTTTAAATCATGAATTAATTATTATAATAATTGTTTCTCTCCTATTCTTTATCAAATATTAATTCTTGAATTCCTGCATTAATTGTTATATGCTATTTGAATTATGTACCTTAATTATTATTTGATATTTAGCATATTAAATATTAAACTGCATATTTTTGCTCTGATTTCCATAATAATTTGCTATTTGCCTTTGTTTGTTTCATAATTAAATCATAAATTATTGTATGCTTGTTGTCTTATAATTTTATATTAATTGTTACACTTATTGGAGAAATTTCTTCTATAAGAATTGGTAAATGAATATGTTGGAGGAGCGGGTTGCACGCCGCAACAGAATTGATTATAATGAATATATTGGAGGATCGGGTTGCACGCCGCAACAGACTTATTAAAAGTCTATATTGGGGGATCGGGTTGCACGCCGCAACAGACTTGATTAAAATGAATATATTGGAGGAGCGGGTTGCACGCCGCAACAGAATTGAATGTGAATATATTATGAGAGCGAGTTGCACGCTGCAACAGAATTGAATGTGAATATATTATGAGAACGGGTTGCACGCTGCAACAGAATTGATGGAAATGACAATTGGTTATGAATGATGAGTTGGCTTCAATTATTATAAATGAATTACCTGATTTATTTCTATTATTGTTGTTGTTACTAATATTGCGTACAGGTAATGTAAGTGACCCGCCTTAGCCTCGTCACTACTTCGTCGAGGTTAGGCTCAGCACTTACCAGTACATGGGGTCGATTGTACTGATACTACACTCTGCACTTCTTGTGCAGATTTTGGAGTTGGTCCCAGCGGCGTACCATAGACTTGCTCGGATTTCAGCTACTTAGAATAGACTTGAGGTATAACTGCACGGCGTTCGCAGTTCTGAAGTCCCCGTCTATTTTACTTTAGCTGTGTGTTTATTTCCAGACTGCTTTATTTTATTTCAGACCTTTATTTGTATAATTCTAGAAACTCATGCACTTATGACACCAATTCTGGGATGGTATTTAGATACCGTTATTTTTATGGATTATTCACTATATTTCAAACATTACTTCCGCAATTCTTCTCTGTTATTAATAAATTTAAAAATTATTTTAAAAATGGATAATAGTATTTTAACGTTGGCTTGCCTAGCAAGTAAAATGTTAGGCGCCATCACAGTCCGAAGGTAAAAATTTCGGGTCGTGACAATGCCCGAGTGTCTTGCTAGTGAAAATCAAGAATGATGCATGTTCTAGGTTAAATAAAGTGATAAAAGCATATCATAGGCTAATCGAATATAATTAAATTTTCAATTGATCCACCGATCAAGTATCCGAACAAAATACTAATAAGGTGATCGAAAATAAAATATTCAAGCACATCATACATTGGAGCATATAAGTGTAAATGACTTAGAGTATGTAAGTATGTAAGGTCCTCAGATAATAGTTTTCGGCCATTTAAATCGGTGGAATGTTAATTAGCTCCAAAGATTCGTAGCAGGGCCGGCTCCAATCTTATGTTGTGTAAGGCGTGTGCCTTGGGCCCCAAATTTAGGGAGCCCCTTTTTTAAAAAAATAATATATTCATAGGTATGTAAAAAATAATATTTAGTATTTTTAATACAAAACTAGAGTTTTTAATATAAAGGAAAGAAAACTTTTCAGATATATAAATAAAAGAATAATTTGACTTACTTAAAAATGTGTAGATGAATAGTTTTCATAACTTTTAGTTTTTTATTTTTTTACTCCTTCATTACAAAATTTGCTCTCTTCCTTAATTTGTCCAAGTCAATCTTTCTTTTTTTCCAATCTCTTCATATTTCAGAAAATCCTACATATTTTTTTATGTTTCTCTTTGATATTCTTACTCAACTCTTTCTCCCAGATTTCACTAGTTCAAGTGTTCAGCAATACTTTTAAGCTTCCAATAGTTGTATACTTCTATTGCTTTGTAAAATCTTATCTAAGATCAATAATATCTCAAGAAAGATTAGATAGGTTGGCTATATTATCAATCGAGCAAGAATTATTAGAGAAAATCAATTTTAAAAAAAATTATTAACTTTATATCTCAAAAAGTTAGAAGAATAGGCCTCAAATAAAAACATATCTTATAACTTTCTTTTAAAAATTTAGGCCTCATATTAAATTTTGGCCTGATTGATAGTTGTAAGAATTAATTACTATATGCTCAAAAAAACACATTAGTTTTTAGGAAAAATTACACAACACAATAAATATATACATTGTATTTAGCATTCGTAGCTATACTTTCAGAAAATTTCCATTCAAAGCTATATGTTAATTTTATAGCAAAATCCACTGTAGTACCGAAAGAAAAGGTTAATTGTTTTGAATTGAAATAAGAGAGCAATAAGCTCTCGTAGCTCAGTTGGTTAGAGCGCTCCCTTAGCAAGCGGAGGTCTTGAGTTTGACTCTTGATGAGAGCATTTTATTTTTCTGTATTTCGCCTAGGTTGTACTCACTGCGCGTCTGAATACAAGTGATACAAGTTAGTAACAATTGAACAGTAGCTACAAATAGTGATTAAAAAAACTATAGCTATTATGGTAGTTAGGCTCTAAACTGTAGTGATTTATGTAAACTTCTCTAATTTTTAATCCATTTGGCCACAAATACGGAGTATATGTTATTTCAGCTTAAACTTGAAATATTATTTGCAAATCAATATCTGTTTGACAAATTGATCAATTATTTCAACTTCACGTGAAACAGACTTCGCTTGAATTTAACCGTATAATTAAAACCTTACTTAAAAATAACATCAAATATCAGTTGAGAAAATTTGGATGTGTCATGAAGTTCTTCAGAAAAAAAACAAGAAAAAGAAAAGAAAAATGAAATTTCAAACCTAACTCCTTCAAACTTTAAAACCCTTATCAAGCATTATTAGTTTTTGTTGCATTCATTCATTTCCCTTTTTCCATATTTCCAAATTCCAACTATCAAGCATTTTGTTGTCTTATAATCCAAATAGGAAAAAGACTTAAATATCTGAGAAGGAACACTTTTATTTAGTTAATTATGTATTAACAACTAATATGTCGTTGACATAAAATCTAAAACTTGAGAAGTAAGAAAATATCGACAGCCTTTATTGAACAGAGAGCGAACTAACAAGAAGTGACTTTAATCTCAAGGTGGCCGAAGTATCGATAGTGTGAACTTATCAAACATTTTGCTTCTTTACCAATGCTTTGATTTAAAACTTAATCATATTCAAAAAGCTTCAAAACAATATGATTGAAAAAACTTACCCTTTCATTACAAGGTAAATTGGATAGGATATAAAACATTTACATCATTCTACATAACCAATATGATTTGCTCCCTATTTTCCAAAAAAAAAAAAAAGAAGGGAATATTGGTGTTGTTCTTTGCCCCACCAAAAGAAATACAAAACTCAACTGCTCACACACTGCACCTTTTGCTATGAACTATAACTATAAACAACAGAAAATATTATATTACATCAATCTATACTTAAAAAAAATTGGGGGAGGAAAAGATCATGAATTTACAAGAAATCGAGGATGCTACAATAATCTGTCGCGCAAAACACAAGAAAATCTTGGTGTCCTAGGCCTCACTCATGTAAAAATTGGAAGGCTGGATTCTCAAGAAGTTCAGTAGCAGGTTTGACATCTGCAAAATCCTTGACTTGAAGTGAATTTGAGACCTCATCAATTGAGAACGGAATGCTGCACTTGAAATGATGCATTGGTTAGAATTTTAATCCATCTAAACTTTCCGATCACATGGTTAAGTGGGTGGAAGGGAAAATGACATTGTATAGCCACTCAAAAACTAATAGCTGAAAAATGTATATTTTTTTTTATATATAAGCATTTTTGTATATTATATACAGAAAATATACAAATTTTATACACTTTTGTGGCTACCGGAAGTAAATAGTTTTGGCCGCAGATTAGAAGTATCTTTGCCCAAGGAATAATAGCTGTCAAACTAGAGCAAAATATCCTTTAAAATCCATGCATCTAAACTCTGAATAGTTTCTCACCTCGAGTTATCATCCAATAGAAAAGAGTTGGTCTCGGCATTGTTCGATTCCTCTGTCATAAGTACCCTCATGCTAGATATAACCTGTCAGGAAAAAAGAGGAAATTCCCTCAACATTCATTTATTACTGATTTGAATATGCACTTCAATCGAATAAACACCATCGGCCACACATAGCTTACATCTGGAGAAACACTGCGCGTATTGTATTTGTCATCCCAGTAAAGAGTACAAATTCTGTAAAGTTGCTGGACACTGAGAACCTGTAAAACCAGAATTTCACATTTTAAAGAAAGGTGATATGGTTTATACTCGATGAAATGGAACAGAATCGTAAAACCAAATTCTGACCTGGATTGGTAGAGAAAAAGTTTGACAAAGAACTCTTACATATAAATTGCAAAATGGAAACATTAAATTTTTAAGTCTTTCTATACATGCATTTCATAACACTGGGCTCGGAGCGGAGCTAATGTTAATAGAGAAAAAAGACTTACGGGACACAAATCATTAGTGATATCATCATACGAAATTCTGTACTTCTGATGTATAACCTGCAAAGAGTAACGATAAACAGAAAACTCCACATCAATGGTAGATCGCATTGCATATGCATAATTGTAGACATAAGAAGATTCCAACAACAACAACAACAACCCAGTAAAATCCCACCAAGTGGGGTATGGGGAGGGTAGAGTGTACGCAGACCTTACCCTACCCCGAAGGAGTAGAGAGGTTGTTTCTGGGAAACCCTCGGTTCAAAAGGCTTACTGACATAAGCAAATTCCAAAAGACAAAAAGGAAAAGCAGCAACTATCTTGCAACAGCCAAGTCAGAATGCTACACTGGAGCATAATAAATTAGTAAATAACCAAAAAAACTAGAGGAAACTTCAGTAGTTAAGCTTACCACTAATTCAGTTCCGGACATGATGTCTCGTAACTTTTTCCGTACACAATAAACCATATCTAATTGCTCAAACACTTTCATCTGAGGCTTAATGAAATACTTGACAATATTAAAAAGAATAACAGGAAAACAGATGTCATAAAGATAGATTGATGGAACCAAAACAGCTAAGATCTCCAGAATCAAATAATAGCAAGGGCACACGTAAAAATAGAAGAATAAAGTGAAGGTTCTTACACTCTAATATTCTATAAACCTTTCATGGCAGATATGCAAAATAAGCACAGACTCTTCAAGGCAGAGCCAGGATTTCAACTTTATGGGTTCTAAATTTTAGAACGACTTCAAGTGCTAATAATTGGTTAACTTTAATAATTGTACATATTTAATGTTTCTTAATACAAATATATTGTTTGAGCAAAAGCTACTGGGTTCAGCCGAACCCATAGCCGAGCTTCTAGCATCGCCCCTGTGACTTCAACATTTGGTTTGTGGTAAGTTAGGTGGCTACTTCTAATCAATGATACTAGAAAAAAAATGTTAAAATGGAAGATGGAAAATATTAACATACCAAGAATCCAACAACTTGTCTTATATGTCTGAGTTCATCCCAGGATGAGCCAGCATACTGCAAGCCAAGAATATATTAAGCGAAAAGTTAATTAGATGCGATTTTTTTTTTCATTTAGGTGATACAATGAACGTTAAAATACCTCTTCCTTTGCTTGGCAGCACCACAACTCTAGCTCAGCCAAGCCAGATTTAACATATTCCGCATTACTGAATGTACAACACTCCCGCCGAAGAAGAAAACTACAGTTTGATAATTTATCTGAGATTAGCGTAAATTGACAAATAACAAAAGATGCTTAGATAAGAAAACTCAGTCACCTGTTAAAGAGCTGAACACTAATGTATGAAAAGGCTTGACTAAATATCTTCTGAACAAGAATTGGAGGCATCTGAAAATGAAAGGCAACAAGCATTAGCTTTCCTTCTGACTCAAATAAAAAAGAGAGAAGAAAGTAAAAGTTTGTGAGGCTGTACAAAGTTTTCTTTCAATGTACAGAGAAGAGAGTCTAGGCATTCAATTATCCCCCGCCAGTGATTTATTGAATAATCTTTGCCAAAGGATCGACCAGATCTTAGCATACTTCCTCTGGAGGTCCGTGGTGCCTGATTTGCAAAAGATCATATATTATGTGAAAGCAATTACTTTCACCTTGTTCGAGAAAGTATCACAAGAAATTGAGAAGGAAAAGGAAATATGGCGATAAATTTAAATAATCTCAGAAAAAACATCTAAAAATGCGTTAAAAAAAGATAAATGAATTTTGTGTTCTGCTATTTTCTTGTCTTGATTTTCTGAGGCACGAAATTTGGTGTTACTGACGAAATCATTGAAATCTTGTTTCGTCACAGAGACTCCATCTCCCAAAACAATACGTAGCTAGGTCGAAAAGACGATTATCTCGCTTGCAGACATATTTGGGCGGGATATTCATCAGTTTCACATATTCTAACTTCACTAGAACAATAGATTCAAGCCATTGAACGTCACAAGGAAGATTAAAATATTATTATACCTCACGCCTATTTCACACATAATAATTGAGGAAATAAGGCATTACTTTCATAGCTTCTAACTTAAACCAGATGACGAAGAACACAAAAATGGGGCCTACTTGAAAGAACAGAAAACAATATGAAGAAAATTGATGTTTTCAGTATGGGTTGAGTTTCTCCTAAAAACAAATAAAAAGGATAAATAACAATTTCTTCTTTGGACATCTGCATATCTATGACATTATATACCCATGATTCTTCTTACGGAAACACATTTATCATCATCTGAATTTCTTTTTGATCAAGGAGTGAAAAAAACTTGAACAAAAATGCAACATACCTGGATACATGAGGAGAGCAGTGATCCTAACTCCTTCTTCAAATTATCACGAATAATTCCATAAATCTTTTCAACATATGCTGTAAGCTGCTGCTTGAAAAGCATAGCTGGGTATTTGGCTTCCACCTGGCACACTACCTGCGCAGCTGCAGCATTATTGCCGGCAGAAGGCGACGAGCGGAAGCCCTGCAAACAGGAAAGCAAAGATCAGTTACTACATAGACGGGAGTAAAACTACTGCAGCTAAAATTTCGGCACTCAAACTAAATGAAAACAATTTCAAAGCAGGAATTAAGACAATGAAAAGTTCCAATACCATTGCCATTCTACCGAAGAGGGATGTTGCAGGCTGTGGCTTACGGATAGGAGTTGCACCAACTGCGCTACCAGGCTTCAGACTTTCTTGGATTAGGAATAACAATGTCGAGGTATTCGACAGCCAGTATGCCATGTGGTCATTGCTATCTTGATTCTGCAATCATTATACTTTTCACATGTTCTGAGCTTGCAAACAGAGTTTCAAATGCAACAGGCACCTCAAAATTTAAGAAAATTAACCCCCTTTTGATTTCCCTTATCCCCCTTAGAAGTCATGGATGGAGATCATAACCTTCTCTCATTTTTATGCTCTATCTCTGCTACTTGAACAATCTGTAGGATGTGATCACTCTTAAATCTTGTATGACCATACATTCATATTTAACATAACATGACTAGTCATAATCATTTTTTGGATGCATGTAACAGTGGTGACCTTATTGATCTGTAAATGAGGATTTAATTGAAAGTTAAGTAAACAACCAATGGTAGAAGCTGATTGATCACTTGCACTTCCTTTTTCCTTAACAAATGCTGCTAAAGACGGCAGGCAGTCGTTTGAAATCATGAGTAGGCCGTAATGTAATTTTTGAAGCTTATAGCAACTTAATGACTTAGTTCCAAAGGAATCATTTAGTCACTTTTCGCCACACTGTTTCTATCATTGTTTTACTCCAATATCCCTGAGACATGTAATGTCAAAATCAATAGTCGCAATTCTCAAATTACCTCAATGGCAGAACCAATCATCTGTACTAAACGATCAAACACACTAGTCTTTTCTGCTTCAAAAGATTTCCAGCGAAGAAGGCATTTGTAGATGGTAAAAGCTGCGACAGCTTTGCTTTGACTGAATCCAACATCCTTCATCACACAGTCAATGAGTGCACCAATGTCTTCCTGCGGTACGGTCAACCAAGACTTCAGTTAACAGAAAGTTTCTATGTCAAAACTTTAGAAAAATATGACTCTGAAGGTCCTCTGGGGAAGTACATACATGTTGTCGGTCGATAGGTCTCCTTAACTTGCTATTAGGGGTTTCAACTTTTTTAGCAGGTGTTGGACTTGGTGGATCCTGCAAAAGTCAATACTGTATAAGCATGGAGCACGAATTCGAGTTTGACAGCTTTCTGGACAATAATTAGAGGTGGAAAAACCAACCTATTTTTTGGCAACCTGCTCAACGCACCCGAGTTTAAACGGGTTGGATTATGATTTTGTTGACTTGATATAACAGGTTGATTAGAAAATGAGCAAGTTTGGGTCATATTGGGCAGGTTGGATCAGGCGGAGCCAGGATTTGAAGTTTGTGGGTTCTGGCCACCAAACCCATAGCTCGTCTTAGTTACTGGGTGCGTAATTAGATATCTATATCTATTTGATGGATTTCCTAATACAAATACAGGATCTAAGCAAAAGCTACTGGGTTCGGCCGAACCCATACCCAACACTCTACCTNCATTGGTTCTGTTTTCTTCGTTGAGATTGTAGCCATTTTCTACTACCTGCACTTACATACTGTCAATGTAATATTGTCAAAGGGAAGGGAAGTAATGAATTTCGCAAGCAAATACCTTGGAAGCCAAACTAGGTGAATGATCTGACACCTGTTTGGCAGGGGTTAACAAGGCTTGCTGAAGAATCTGGTTCTCAGATTCCAAGTCAAAATTCTTTTCCTGGAACCTATAACCAGAACACGCAACGATGATTAGAAAAAAAATTACGTTTGAGTTATAATCACGAGCCTGTCTGTATAAGAATAAAACTTCCATAAGATTATCCATTCAAGCTACTTATGACATAAGTTCATTAAACCTTTGCATAGTAGTCTTCAACTGAACGATCGTAGACTCTGCATCCATCACCTGCCTCAACCTCTCCTCACTAAGTTTGCTTGTCTCTTCAAATTTTCTTTCTGTCTCATCAATCTTCTTTTCTAGAGAGCTTACCAAAGCCTAACATGAAAAATCAAAACAAATGACCGTCAAAAGCTGCATGTGATTGGCTCCAGTCAATACAAGCAGCTTGTATACACTTGACTCCCTAATTTCAACAAACCTACCTTTAGATTCTCATTTTCAGCACTAAGTTTGTTCATCATTTCACGGTCAACAACGGGAACTTCCTGTATAATAGGGATCTTCTCTGCCGCCCTTTTTGCAGTTTCACGTTCTTTGACAAGTATTTCTTTTGCTTCTTTGAACTGAAGTTGAACTTCTTGCAAAGCTGATTGCAGTTTTGCATTTTCTTTTGTTTTTGCTTCTTCCATATCAGCCTACAAAAACGGAATAAAAATGTATAAACTGGAAGGCAGACACTTAAAAGCATAAAGCGGTATAGACGGAATCAGCATTTCCTTATATTCCTACTCCACTTTGATAGAAGCAAAATACTTCTTGATCTACTTACCCTCATGCGTTTCTCCAGCTGTAGTCTCCAAGTTAATTCTTCAACTTGCTTCTCTAATTTGTTCTTGGCAGCTTGAAGTGCACCAGTCTCCCGCGCAGCCTATGCAGAAATAGGTTACAATGGAACTTCGAATAGAGCAAACAATAGATATTCAATCAAAGTATTCACACCAAGCCCGAATTGGCAGAAGCATGAAAGAAAATTTAGAGCCTCTAAATTTGATGTAAGCTTAAGAAGCTAGTTTCTATATGATTTAAGCATACAGTAATATGATATATAACATATCCGAGAAAATTTAAGCTGTGTATCAACTCAGAATAGATACTGTAACAGACGGCAGTAACAGCTAAAAGCTTTTGGTTCAACAAAAAGAATAAAGAAAAGTTGAATGGGATATCACCATCTTAAGTTTACGTAGTTCCCCACGAGCAACTCTAGATCTCCAAGCACATTGAGTGGTAATAGCAGCTTTCTTGAGCTTCTTATACTTCATACAGGCCAAGAACGTGCGACACTGACTCTGGGAATATAGCATGAAGATTATTATGAAGTGAGAGTCACAGATTCCAAGGCATTGAGTTAATAAATAGGTAGAGCAATAGCAGCAAGGAGAACTATTCCCAATAGTTTATTGATCCTAAATTAGAAAAGGTCTTTTTTTTGGGAGCACGGCGGTCCAAAATAATAACAGGCGGTAGCCCAAATATACAAAACATACATTGATTATGTATATTTATACTTAATAGACAAAAAAATATACATTTGCCAGTTTTTTTTTTTTTTTTGAGCGGCCTAAATGTAATTGTCCCATTAGGAAATTACCTCAAAATTTCCAAAGGATTATTCCTCCACTACTAAACGTTTACCTGAATGATAATGGCAGCTTTTGTCTGTCTTTTGAATCGTACTTCATCTCGTGCAGCCATCCCACGCATTCCTGTCTGAATTGAAATGGCAGCAGCGCATGATTCTTTGTAAGCCTTCCTAGCAAGATGCATGCGCACGTCTGTCTGGATCTTCAGACAAGCTGCTTCTTTCCGCAAGCTCGCGTATACACGCCGAGAAAGCTCTCCTGTAACAATGAGAGATGAAAAAATTGATATATTTTTAATCTAAGAACCAGATAACTGAAAGCCGAGCATGTAGCAAATGAAGTACCTCTGCACATTGACTGTATCCTTATTGCCAACTGACGTAACAACGTAAAATTTCTTCGAGCCATGTGAGAACGGAATTTCTTCTGAATGATGCTCGCGGATCTTCCTAATACCACTGTCCTGCGAGAGTCTAGCTCTGCCATCTGACCAGCTCTTAAAAATACTTTTGTTTTACCAATCTGCAAAGGAAAAATGGACAAATAATTGGCTTTCCTGAAGCCTCCTCTACTTGGGAGACATCTCACAAAGGAAATCCGTAGGTGATTCTGGCTTTTCCTTCTTTTTAGATCAATAAAAGAATGAAATATGCTACAGTTGAAAGGCAAAGAAAGGTATGAAATATGTGCGAGACATAAAGTTAATGCTTGTGGCTTTTAAAGGCAAAGGTCTTCTGCATATGATTATAAAACAAGAACCAAAAGAGCTCTGGAAGAAGATACAACAACAATGTCTCAGTCCCAAATAAGTTGGGGTCAGCTAAATGAATCATCACTGATCATGTTACTCCAACTAAACTCATCTCAAGCTAACATTGTATGCAAACACAGAGATTCCAACTAAGTTGCTCGGACACAAGTGCGGGTGTCCGACACGATCACACGGGTGCGGATATAAAGGTCGGATCCTTCGAGATGTAAATTCTAAGAATCGGGGATACGAATTCTAGTATGGATACGGGTGCGGGGATCCGGCTAAAAATAATTCAAAAATATAAAAATATTAAAAAATAATTGTGGAATACTTAGTATAACCTGTAAAGTGTGGATTTATTTTTTATTCTCAAGTTGTAGATAAGTAACGGATTGATTTCCTAGATAAGGTATGCTATTTTCTTCAAATTTACCCTATTTTTGGTTCTGATTTCCGGAATCAAATTGTATCTACTCTCGAATTTTTTCGTCCGTCGTGGTCAAAGTACCCAAAATTGTTTGACCAAATTCGGTACGGATCCGATACCTACACCCATACTAGTGTCGTGTCGACACGGGTGCGGCACCTAAACTGTCGTGTCGGAGCAATTTAGGATTCCAATGTGCAACAAATGCGAAAGGGAACCACTAAAATTCTTAAAACATTTTACCGAATAAAGAATGTGCTAGATAAATGTCATGTTCATAGAGATAAAAACACACTTTTTGTAAATTGACATTATTGTTCGAAAATAAGTTACTCTAAATATACAAAAATCCACTGGAAAGGTTTGAATTGTTTCACGTTTAAAGGATTTCTTTTAATTTCTAAAAATGTGATGTGTACCATCCAGGGAGTAGAACCCTCTACCCTTGACCGGAGGACCTAGTTTGAGCCCTGTACTCCAAAAATACAAAAGTGCAGTGGAAAGGTTTGAGTTGTTTCATGTTGAAAGGCATCTTCCATAACTCTACAAAATGTGATGTATACCACCAAGGGATTTAGTGAGATGGATCAGATCCCTCCAACTTTAACTAGAGGTCTTGGGTTCGAGCCCTAGAAACGGGGACCTTCCTGGTAAGGAACGCTTTCCTCTTAAATGGACCCTATGTGGCGCGAATTTGGAATAGCCAGGGAAGTGAGTTTCGGATACCAGATAGTTAAACCAAAGAAGAGATAGTGTGATGTATTACCTGATATCCTTGAAGACCGACTTTCTCTAAGAGGCTTGTGCATGCAGATACCTCGTCCGTACTGTCATAAATTAGTAGGACAAAATCAGAAATCATTGACAATCAGACCAAAGAGTACAAGGTAAAATAGGTACCTTCCATCTAAAACTTCAGGCGAGAGGACGCCAAAGCGATCTAAAAATTCATAAAAGGGTTTTCGAGTAGGATATCCGGCACAGCTTATTCTTATTGCTTCCATCACTCCCTACAGAAAAAAAACTAGTGAGCACAAACTTTCAATTCACAGATATGCCACCAATATGAAAAAATTCAAGACATTTCCTTACCCCACAGCAAAGCTGTTGCAGAACATTGTGATTCTCGAAGACAGAGGGCTTTAGCAGATTATTCGGCTTCACACATCGAATATAATGGGGTTCGGTTGTATTCAGAGCTTCAAGCAAAGCCTGCAATTGTTGCTGCAAAGTGTATAAAAGAACATATGATGATTCAATATGTATGCTCTCTGTAATGGCATAGATGAAAAGAAATGAGCAAAATATGTTAGAAAATGCAAACATGCCTTGAAGCTAGAGCCAATAGAAGAAAACTTTGACTGTTTTGAGGATTCCTCCACTAATGTTGGAAACAAACCAGATACAAAAGAACACTTTGAAGCTCTCAAGAGCGCCTGGTGTTCAGCAACGACATAGTCTTTGTTCTTATCCAGAAACAATTCAGTTTGATATGTGACCTGTAATAAAGAACATGTATAATTATCTATGGCTTCAGAATAAATAAAAGTGAGAAATGTATATTTTTAGCAGCTCCCAAAAATAATAGCCAACAAAATGTATATTTTTTGTATATATGTGTATTATATACATATTTTATACAACTTTGTGGCTAGCGAATGCAATTAGTTTCGGCTGACCGGTCAATTTTATATTTTGCTCAATAAAAATTGAAGATCTAAGCAAGAAAATTTCTAAGGTAAATGAAAAGACTTACATCACCAGCGTAATGGCAAATAGTGAAGTCAGAACGAGCCAACTTGGGCTTGCTGAATCGTTTGTGGTTTTTGAAAGTCTGATAAAGTTTCTGAGCAAATGTTTCATGAGTTGATCTTGGAAACATACTGCAAAAGCAAAACCACAGCAATCTGAAACCATAAGCCATAAGAATTAAGCAGAAATAAGGATAAATAAAGATGCTTGGAAGCGATGAGTATGGATAAGGCTATACAAAAGAACAATAATAGCTCTTTCATTAAACAGCTTACCAAGCTTCATCAAGAAGTGCTATAATACCTCCTGGTTTCTGACCAAGGAAAAAAATTGTTAAAATACATTACGGAAGAAACAAAAGAGAGAATTCAGTCTTGGTCCATAAATGAGAAAACATGTAAATTAGACAAAGAAATCAACATCACCACAAAAAGGAGGTTTATATGGGACTTCTGAAGCAGATATTATAGGAAACAAAGATTGGATTTAAGCCAACTTATGTAAAAGCATGATTTCGGCGTTCGATACTAGAATAAAGTTTCTGGTTTTTTCTTGCTGAAACTGCATCTTCTTTGCATATCTTAGCCTTCTACGACCTCTTTTTATTGTTTTTCTTCATTGATTACGAAGTCTTGTGGTAAATGTTATTACTGTTATCAACAGAAAACTCATCTTTAAAGAACTTCATCTAGACTTTATCAGCTGCAACTTTCAACTTATATCCAAGATAACGCACATATAACTAAAAATATAATTCTTAGAGAAGACAACATATTCTTAGGGAAACAAGCTGATGATAGGAAAGAAAGAGATTTTACAAAGGAAATGGAGGAGAGTAAGAAAAGGATTGAATGGACATATAGCATCAAAGTGCACAACGAACACTTTTTTTTGGGTTAATTACATTTTTGGGCCGCCCAAATAAATAATAGCTGGCAAATGTATATGTTGTATATTAAGTACAAATATACATAAATATACATATAACATACATATCATTCATATAATCAATGCATATGTTTTGTATATTTGCGCTAGTGCCTGCAATTATTTTGGGCTGCGGCGCCAAAAATGAAAAAATCCCTGTTTTTTTACTGGGTCAAATCGACTGAAAATAGATCCTGAGAAGTCATTTACATGTAAACAACTGTAAACACATTAAAGAAATCTAAGTGTAAACCTTTTCTATGAGATCCAGAATATCTTGATTATCAATGAACTCAATGTAGCTCCAGTCAATTTCCTCTTTTGTATACTCTTCTTGTTCCATTTTGAAAACATGCTGAAAAAACACATAAAACAGGTATGATAAAGATGTGTGCAGTAGTAAATGATCGTTCAATAAACTCAAAGATGAAGAAATAACCAGAACCTGATTGAAGTGTTGTTGAAGTTTCTCATTTGTCAAATTGATACAAAATTGTTCAAAGCTGCAGAAATTAAGAGCATCAGAAATACGATTCATATCTGCAGAAACAAAAAGCATCAAAAGTATGAAACAACCTACAAAGCGGAGTTCATGACTAGTCAGCTTTCAGAATAAAAAACGAATACTGCAGTCGAACCAAATAGTACAAAATTAAAAAACCGTGGAGATTTCCACAAATTTCAATCTTGTTGCCGACAAAAAAGAAATTATTACCTAACAACGTGACCCTAAGTTCCCATACGACATACTCCCTCCGTCCCAATTTAATTGTGATACTCTTTCCAGTTTAGTCTGTCCCAAAAGAATGATATCTTTCTACATTTAGAAACAATTTAACTTTAAGCTTTCCATTTTATCCTTAATGAGATGATTTTTAGCGGAGAAATATATATGCCTTGTTTTAGGCCACAAGTTTCCGAAGTTTTTCTTTCTTTCTTAAACTCCGTGCCCAGTCAAACAACATCACATAAATTGGGACGGAGGGAGTAATTTAACAGATTTTTATCAGACTTAGAAGCAAATGAGATTCAACGTATTTCGACTGCAAGATAAAAGAATTTGACTGCTTGTGGATATGCTAAGGCAATTTTTATATACAGTTCATTCCAGAAGAGTACATCTCACATACAATCCAAAACAAAAAGGCATACCGGTCAAGCACCTGTTAGTCTTAAAACTCTCAAAACCATAAATATCCAGCACACCAATCAAAGATTTTGAATTTGGATCTTGACCAATTGAACTATTAATCTTATCCACCAGCCTGAAATCAAAAATTGAAAGGTTCATGTAAAAAGTACAAGTCATTATCGTTTCATCAATTTTGTAACAAAGTAGTGAATGATTCAATTGCACAGAAAGTTAAAGCTTACCAATCGAACAATTTTGAGTATACTATTTTTGCCAAAGCATCTCTACTGATGGCTGCTGCTTCTGGATCCAGCAATTTCGTGATGGTTTCCCCCCGAGTTACAATAACACGCTTGCAAAGCGAATCCTCAAGAGCCTCCATGTCACACCTAGAAAATACTAAAGTTCAAAAAAGGCTGCACTTTTTCTCTTTGAGAATAATCTAGCTTAGTAATTCAGAATGGTACTCCCTCTGTCCGAATTTATGTGTCATACTTTCCTTTTTAGTCTGTCCCAAAAAGAATGTCATGCTTCCTTATTTAGAAACAATTTAACTTTGAATTTACTACTTTACCCTTGATGATTTATAGGCACACAAATATATATGGTTTGTTTTAGACCACAAGTTTCAAAAGTCTTTCTTTCTTTCTTAAACTCCGTGCCGAGTCAAACACCGCCACATAAATTGAGACAGGGGGAGTAATTGACTTCAGAATAAGCCGAACTCCTCACTTACATTAACAGCTCGGCTGCAGCCCTTAGATGAAACCAAGATCTTTCATCTTTCGGCACTGAGGAGTCTGTCTCCTTCCCTTTTGTAAATTCGACGTTTCCAAGATGGAGAATTGCAGCCACTACACGAAATATTGCATCCTGGGAAAACACAAGAGATATCTAAGAAACCAACAACAACAACAACCATGCCTCAGTACCAAACAAGTTGGGTTCCGTGATATGAATCCTCATTTCTTTCTGTACGCTCAACTCTTACCATCATCATTATCAAAATAAGGAAATTACACCCTTGAGCATGTTTTTCTGTCTCTGCATTTTCAAACATACCTGCTCTTCCAAACTTATTCCGACAATATCCATTGCCCTTCTTGTATCTAGGTATTCTTTGGAATCGTCAACCCCATCTAACTCATAGCAATTTGACTGATTTAGGTAACGAAATGACCGAGGGTTATCCAACTTGTACCTTTGAATATCCTGAAAAGTGGAGAACAGAATCAGACTGGTAACAAATTCTAAGTCCACATTAACAGATCATTACCAAAATTTAAATTAAGATATAGAACAACGAAAGGCTGGGAGTAAACTACAGTTTGGTTTTGACAAGAATTGAATCCACTTCTTTCTTCAGTATTATCAGATAGTAGCATGATGTTTTTTTTTCCATTTGCAGGGATATCTGTGCGTAGAAATTCTATTCCCGACAAAGAAAAAAGACGAAACCCTATGGTTTCAGAATGCGCATTCTTCTGAAAAAGCAATTTATTGAATTAAATACCTTTGACGGTGCAGCACATAGCATGTAGAAACAGTGATAATTTCTCTCTGGATCAGAAACTTGGCAAACACGAGATCTTTCGAGTAAATATGTTCTGATAGCAGCACCTGAAATCTTTCCTCTCTGGTCAAACTGGATCTCCACAAACTTACCAAAGCGACTGCAATCTCAGCGTAAGACATATTACAACCATGTAGTAATTTTCACGAGACGAATCATTGAAAAGTTCACTAATAACAGATATATCTACCCAACCTTGAGTTATTATTTCTGACAGTTTTTGCATTACCAAATGCTTCCAAAACAGGATTAGACTGCAAAAATACACAAATATCAAAGTTGATTTTTTTTTTCCGGGGGGCAGCAAAAAACTGTGGTAAAAGATCTAAGACATGTTACCTCCAGGACTTGCTGCTCAACTGTTCTACCCTCAGCGGCAGCTCTCCCTCCCATGTAAGCAAGATAGCGCATTAGTAGTTTTGTGCTTTCTGTTTTACCAGCCCCACTCTCTCCGCTAACCAGTATCGATTGACTTACTCCTTCTTTGATCATAAGTCTGCATCCATTGGGGGTAATCTCTTACTGAAAATTCAAAATCAAGGGCTGGATCGACAAACATGGCGCAGCACACACCTGTATGCTGCATCAGCAACAGCAAAAGGGTGAGGGCTAAGCTCTCCAAATGCCGCACCTTTATATTGGGACATCATATGGCTATCATATAAGTGAGGTAATCTTCTGAAAGGGTTGACAGCGATTAGTATATTCCCTGTATACGTCTGAAACAACAATTTACAAGGTTAGTTCAGTAAGCACTAACAACAACGCTCGGTCCCAAACAAAGTTGGGGTCGGCGATATGAATCCTTACTACTTTCTTTAAGCTAAACTCATATCATCATCAGGCCAAAATAAAATAAGAGTAGTAGTGAAAATAAGTTTTATATAGATAATATTTAAAGCCTATTCCTAACTAGTAAGTACTAAGTATCACCTCTATGGATCTTTTTTTTTTTCCATTGTGTCCTATCTTTAGCTAAGTCTGCATTAGTTCAGTAAACACTAACATTCTCCAAATATTAAAAGGTAAATGAACATAATGAAATGACACCAAAAAACTCACATATATTTCATTAATATCGTATCTAGTCTTTAGATTGTGCAGGACTCCTGGTTCGTGCAAATAAGCCAGCTTTGTCATATCATCAACACCACAAGATGGAGCTTCAGCATCTTTAGGGTAGAGGTTAGAAGACTTGACAACCACCTGCACAATAGTAGATTTTAACAAAAAGGAGCAACGAGATTCAGTCCATCCCCAAAATCTGCTTAGTTGATAACTTTCTAAATAGTATGGTGGGAACCTAAGTTGCGCGCACTCTTCATTTGTGGTGCCACACCCGTGTCGAAACGACACCAGCAGTAGCATGGGTGTGGGATACGTACCGGATCTAGTCAATCAACAATTCAACATTGGGTACTTTGACCACAAACTACTAAGAAATTATGGATAAGATATTGGAATTTTTATTTCTCAAGACAAAAACTACTGTAGATTTCTAGATGGCTGCCTACAACTTGAGAATAAAATTTTTGAGTAATTGCACTCTACAAGCTACATTTTCCACATAATGTCTCGTCATTTAGGCATATTTTTATAGCTCTATTTTCAGATATAGCTGAATCCCTGAATCCCTCCACCTGTATCTTTACCTGGATTCGTACTCCAGAATAATAATATTTAGATCATGAAGGATCTGACCTCTAGATCCGAACCTGTTTAGGATACTCGCACCGGAGTCCGAGCAACGTAGGTGGGAAAAATACAAGTCCTTGTCTAATTTTGAACATCACTTAAAATAAGAAATAAGTTATCATTTACTTCTTCAGAGAAATTTGATGCCGTAAGCGACGTACCGTTTTCCCAGAAGTACAAAGAACCTTGATGTCTGCACCATTGACTTCTAAAACTTCCCCATCTATCCAGGCCACAACAGGATCCTCCACCCAAACAAGTGATCCCACCCCTAAGCCAACCGAAGCAGCCTACAAATCCAACAATGCAATAATATTCTCCATTAAGTAATATGCAATGTTGTCCAGAAAAGATAATTTGTATTTCTTTATTCTGGCCTTAGCTATAAGCAAAATGGTCGCGAATTCAATTTGATGCTGTCAGATAGCTTTAAAAATTGAGGCCTATCTGATATCAACAGCCCAAGCAATGAGAATAAAAGAAAGCCTTTTAAACTATAGAGACAACGCCGCTCACTAAACTTATGAAAGACATAAAGAATGCAGAAAGTGTCAACTAATTTAATTAGAAATTAGCTTTAATGTGTATTTGAAAATATGGACTTTGTTAATCTCTTTATCCTGCCTCAGACTGTGTGACAATCTGTACACGATTAAGAACGGCGAACCACTAACAACTTGCAGCAAAATGCATGAGATTTTTCTGTGAAAAGTAGACTAGCTCACAACATAACTTTAACACAAACAAGAGCTACAGAAGGTATTAGCTGAGAATAAAGCAAGAAACTCTCATCAGACCCAATTTATATGACACTCTTTCCATTTTGCAACATCCCATAATGTTTGACACCATTTTGCGTCGATAACACTTTGAAGTGAAAGTAGTCAAAAGCGAAAAGCGTAAAAAAGAGACAAGCGTTGTTGGAGCTTTAAGCGCAAAACGCAATTAAAGCACGGGCTTTAGCAAAGAAAAGCACCAATGAAGAAAAAAAAATTAAAAAATAGAAATTTAATGCAAGAAATGTAACTATAAACAAAAAATAATTCTTTGAGCAAAAGAATGGAAAAATTATAACTAAACTATCGGCGAGTTGTCGTGCCCGTAAAGACAGAACCTGTCGATGGATGTCCACATGCCTTAGCACCTTGAGACGCTTACACTAAAGCAGCAATTAAGCGAGGCAAAGCGCATAACCTGGGCTTCACTGAGCTTCAGGGCTTAAGCGCACTTTAAGCTAGCCTTTAACAACACTTTAACTCACAACTTTCAAGAATTCAATTCAACAAAATCTTCAAACCTTAAACTTTGATAATGATATTTTTTCTATCAAACTAAAGGGCAGCCCAGTGCACAAGGCATCCCGCGTTCCTCAAGGGGTATGACGTAGACAGCCTAACCTAATGCAAACATTAGTGGCGGCTTCCACGGCTCGAACCCATGACCTATAGGTCACACTAAGACAACTTTACCGTTGCTCCAAGGCCCCCTTCTATTTTCTCTATCAAACTAACTTCACAAATCACAACTAGTACTATTTTCTTTTACCATTAACATATATATACATATATAGAAGTCAAATTTAACATCTTAAGCTCAATGCCACTCAAAAATCCATCACATAGAATTGGATGGACATAGTAGTTGAAGTAAAACACAAAGTAAACTGCCTTTAACATTATTAGACTTGTACTAATTACTGTTTTCCAAACCAAAGCTAGAAATTGGAAAAGTAACTTCGCAAAAGAACATATATTAACAAGCCTTAATCAGTTAAGTTCAAAAAACTTAGAGATAAAATACCACTACACAGTCCAAAATACAAAGTGAAATACACTCAAAATGAAACTCAACAAGACAATATTTAAAGATATGAAAATCAAAACCAATGCTGTATATCAATAAATAAATAAAATAAAATAAAAAGGGTGATAATTGAATACCATTTTCTAAATAATTCTTCAATCAGATAGATTCTTGAAGCAGCTTCTTGATCAGCTTCTGAGTACTCAATGATAACATTTAAAAAACAAAAAAAATCAACCCAATACAGAACAAAATAAAAACAATTAATTTCCTTCAAATTTTCAACCGAATTTCTGTAAAATTTCAAACTTTGCTCTAACTTCAACTTTTGGTCATTTCTTCAACTCTCCATAAATCAAAACAGAAAGATTTTGTGAGTTAGTGAACTTGATTTTAATTGGGTTTTATTTCTCAAAAGAATTTGAAAATTGGGAAAAGTTTAAAATTTTAAGGTATAAAAGCTTAAGGTTTAAGGTTTGCTCTATTAAGAGCAAAAATATTGAGGCTTTACGTTGTTCTTTGTTTTTTTCCTAGTCTTTTGTTTTTCTTTGTTCTTTCTTGTTTGTTGGGGAGTTTTGGTCTAAGTTCATTGAAAATAATTTAATGGCCAATTTGTAATTAAAGTGTAGTAAATGAAGTCTCTCCTCCGTTTTAAAAAGAGATGAAAGATTTTTGAAAATTTTAATTTTGTATATGTAAAATAATTTTTGTGTTTTTAAAATTTATTTGTATTAAATATGTCATTAAAATTTGTCACTGAAATTAAAATAAAAAGTTTAAATTATAATTTTTAAAATTTTTAAAATTATTATTATTATTTTAAACAGACAAGAAATTAAAATTAATGGAGCATATGTTAATGAATGAAATACCAAGTCAATGGGCGGAAAATGGAATACCAAGTCCACAGGTTGATTAGCTATGTTAGACCTAGTGGCTACACAAATTGTCAATTTAAACATAAGTCTTCTTAAAGAGGATAACCCATCTTTGTATATGTCTATCTCATCTGTTTTATTTGTTTAATTAATAACCTATTTGGCCAAACCGTTAAAATCAACTTATTTTGAAAAGTGTTTTTCATAAAAGTACTTTTGGTTATAAGCAATTTGTGTTTAGTAGGGATGTTAATGGTTTGGTTCGGTTCGTCCAGTTATTTTATAAAATTTATACCATACCGATTTATAATCAAAATTAGACTTTTCGAAATCGTCCCAATCATGTCGGTTTCTCTTCGGTATCGGTACGGTTCGGTTAATTTTTGGTAATCTTTTTTTAAAAGTCACCAGTAGAAGTGGAATGCAATAACATACGTACTTTTATAAAAGCAAAACTCTCTCGACATTTTTACAGTTTAAAATGTAATGAATTAAGAAAACATGAAAGGATAGAGTATAGATCCATCAACTATTTTACAACAACGTAAAAGAAATTAAGCAAATGCAATGAAATATAAATCATCGAGTGTAAAGATATTAACCAAGTTGGACTCAAGAAAAAAGTCTATAGAAGATTAAATATTCAAAAAGATAAATCTAAATCATACGAAAGGAAACATATTCAATATATTGTAATTTGTTACTCATAATTGCTACAATATCTTGTGTCTTGCTAGTGAATATGCTGAAAATAATTTTGTTTAAATAGGAGTAGCATAATTTTGTGTGAGAATTAAGATTTTGAGTTTAATTACTTGTTGACTTGTAACTGTTTCATAATTGCAAGACACAAGAAAAAATATAATATTTTATTATTTTAAACTTAATATATAAATATATTTTTCACATTGTAAATTTATTCGGTACTGTTCGGTATTTTTTTCAGTTTATTTTCATAAAAAAAAAAAAACCTACCCTAATTATCGGTACAGTTATAAATTTACATAAAAATCTATGATTTTATTTTAAAAAAACCTAAAAATCGATTCGGTACGGTTTAATCAATTTTTAAATATCTTAGCATCCGACTTTTAACGTACGGGATCATCCAATTTTTCACACGTCCGTCAAATTGTAAACTGTATTATGACAATTCATGTGAATTGACAATTTTACAATGTACCGTAAACCCATTTATTTTCTTTGGAGTTGGGACCGATAATTTGAACAAACTCACACAAGACAATAAAAATTCATATAACCGCCCTAACTTATTTGATATTAAATCTTGATTGTTGCTATCGACCGAACTATATGTGACTCCGCTCCTCTGTTTACCACCTCTAATACGTCGCAACTACATCATAAAAGAACACCAATTCAAATCAAGCAGAAATTAATTAAAGCATATAAGGTCCATGAAAAGTTGACGAGAAGTTACATAAACTTAAATAGTCTCTGACATCATCTGGTTGTTTTTAAGTAATGCAAAAGTATGAAATAATCAGCCAAAACTTATGATCCATTTAGTCCGCAGATGTTTTTTTATAACAGTAATGTCCAGAAAGTGGCAGACTTATAGCCAGTGTTTTAACTTTTAAGGAAAAGTTCAAAGGAACTCGCATTATTTTTAAAGGACGTAAAATCTTAAATCTATTAAGATCAAATTCTAAATGAGCTTTGGTGTTCGAATCAGCTAATATTTTAGTAAAGATTTATTATTGTTGCGTGCTTGAACAAAATTTCACATAAAAAGTAAAATAAAATAAAAAGTTTGCTTATAAGGTATTGGATATTTTTAATATGGAGAGACATTTTGAGAAAATCGTGGGGGCATGGATCGGAGTGGTCAATATCAAACAATGCTAAAAGTATTTGAGAGCTGATTTAGCTCAACAACTTATATCGGAGCCATGGAGATGGCGGAGTGTCGCGTAGGTCCCAACTTAGTGCCTTTGCCGGTCTACATGCCGGTTTATGATCTTTACCTGTAGCTTTGAAGACGCTTAGTGGTGTGAATGCCTTGGGAAAAACTGTGTGGGTTTGACCCAGAATGAACAAGTGGTCTTTATACAAATAGCCGGCCATATTTATTATTTACTTTTTAGGGAATCTTACGGAAATGCTCAAAATAAGTCCAAACTTACCGACCTCTAGCCATTAATCACATACTTACCAACATTTAGCCATTAATCACATACTTACCAAAACGAGCCAAGTGCATAAAAAACCTAGATAAATAAGGATTTTTTCTCTCCAAGAATCACACGCAAAGATCTCTTTTCATATTTTAAAGCGTGATCAACAATATTAGTTACAAAACGGAAAGAAAATTTTATAGATGAGGTAACAAAGATGAAACACAAAGAAAAAAATATACAAGATTCTAAAAACCTAAGCAAAAAAAGGACCATTTTCAATGGCTATGGTTGAAATTTATTGAGAAAGATTGGAGTTGATTTGGACTTATTTTGAGTCAAAATTCATAGTTGAAATCGAGTTTAAAAATTTCTCTAGGACATATGAATCAAACATGTATCTCACATAAAAATACACATGGATATACAGGAGATACTTATTTGATATACAAGTGATACGTAAAAGATACACGGAAATACAAAGTGAGATACACATATCATCTTCTTCCATGTTCATCTTGTATACTTCCAAAAATTGAGATTCATACTCCTTAAGATGTACCGAATCTATTTCAGCAATAATCACTCGAAATATATTCCAATTTTGAAAACCCAAATTTTTAAATTCAAGCTTAAACAAAATTCAATGGATGTCCATGACGTTTTCAGTTTAATTCTTCTACCCAATCCAATAAACTAACGTTTAATAATAATTTCTAAATCGAATTAAAGTGCTCGATCCTCTGAAAACTCACTTTAGCTCAATGTGTGCTTTAAAAACTGACATTAATTGAAAATTATTTGGATTAAAATGACATTTGCGCCTTTTTGGTAATTATTTTGTTTTTGTGCTAGTTTTGGTTGAAATTGTTTATGGAGTGATTGTTTGAGTAGTTTTCCCTACATTTATAGCCATATATATAAATTATACATTGATTATACACAAATTAAACATAAATTATACATATATATTACCTCTGCTGGCTATGTTTAGTTTAAGCAATTGAGTGAACGACTAATCAAATTAATTCTTAAATAAAAATATTACATCATAATAAGATATTTGTTGGTTAATTTAGCCCAGCAATTACCTTTCATCAACACAAATATAGAGCAATTCTGTCGAGCATGACTTAGAAAAATGAAAAAAAATCTTGTTGTTGTAACGCAAGGCTTTCGGGAAAAAAAGAAAATTTCTTAGGGAACCGGTTAAGGGTGCATGCTTTCAGACCCTCAGTTATACAACAAACCCAAAAACTATATGCTTTTTTATTCAAAATTTGGTACTACTACTTTTGTTTTTTTCAAAAACAAGACCAAACCTGCCTTTATTTTTATTTTTTGAAAAATATTTTGTGTGTGTGCTTCTACTTTTGTTCTGCTGACTTAAATATTTTAGAAAATATTTTCCTCATGAACTCATTTTTCTCAAATTGGAGGAAAATATTTTCTCTATCAAGAGAAAGAAAAATATTTTCCAAAACTCCTTCTCCACCTTCCCCCAGTCTATTCCCCATCCCAACCAACCCCTACCAATCCACACCCGAATCCAGAATCCATTTGTGGTTCTTTTGGACAAGTGTGACGGAAATATTTGTTTAAAAAAAAGAGTGACATTTTTNATATATATATATATAAAAAAAAACCCACTGTAAACCACGCTATATAGGACTGATAAGACAGATATGTATAGCGCGGTATATAATTGCGCTATACATATAAACGGTCCCACTCCTTTTTCCCCACATTCGAACCAGACCCCCCTCCCAAATTTTCTTCTAAAAAAATGATAGTGGACCCCACCCGTCATACAAAAAGATAAGATTGTAGGTCTCACATTCTAGCCAAGCCTTCTATTGTTGTGGTTTACTCGTTTCGGGCTCAAATTTTTAATTCATCGACTTTCCGAAAAATATAAATCGAGGTATTCCGATTTAGTTTATGTCTAAACTCGTATAATTATGCATATTAGTTGTTTTGAATGTGTTTTCATATTGTTTTATATATTTTTTTTATTAAACTAGTATGTTATTTTTATCCGGAGTAAGACATTAGTGTTTTGTGTTTGTTTTGTGATTAAAATGTATTTGTTATTTTTATCTAGTTTAGATTATTTATTTGCTTAAAGACTAGTGCTCTTTTAGCGTAGTAAAATGTAGAGCCTTTAAGCGTAGAATCCTTGTAGTTTAAGTATCTTTTATACTGATAGATCAAACACAAACTCTGTCCAATTTACAAAAATTAATTATTTGATTTACAAAACAAACACACAAAATTATGAAAATATTAAAATTGACACACATAAGAATTCAGCCTGAAACCCATAGGTATATACTATGTCCAATTAAATATGATAAAATTAATTATTTAATTTACAGATCAAACATACAAAATTACGAAAATAATAAAATTGACACACATAAGAATTCAGGATAGCCCGGTGCTACTGGGCCTCAAATATCGAGCCTGGAACCCATAAGTATATACTCTGTCCAATTAAATATGATAAAAATTAATT